GTTTCCATAAAATTCTTGAAAAACCTTATAACCGTGGCCTTAAACTCTATATCCAATCGTTTGCTTTCCTCCATTTCTGCCACTTGTGACCTGTTTCTTTGTCTCCGCATTTTGGCAGCTTCCCTGTGTTGATAGAGTGGCCCTGTGCGCCAGGTGTCCTGTAGGGCCCAGTAGCTCAGCCTCTCCAGTTACCTGGGGTGGACACTCTTGGTGCACTCTTGGTGCCTTGGTTGTTGTAGACTCACTGGGAGGAATTGACCTCCAGGCCAATTGGCTGTGAGAATCAGCTGTGTCTAAAGTGGGAGAACTTCTGTGCTGAAGACACCCTTCTGGGGCAAGACTTGCTTCAGTGGGGCTTTGGTGCTCACTGAGTCTGCTCCCTGAGTGCGTCCCTTATGGATCTGAGGAGTTGCAGTCTGGATGGACCCCCTCTGACCACTGGGTACAGTGGCTCCTGGATCTAAGGAGGTGCTAATTCAGCCTCTGCCTGAGGCCACACAGCAGGAGCCACGAAGAGGCTCAGCTGTGAAGCAATGCAAGCCGCTGCGGGGCCTTGGGCCTTCTCTTGGAAGTTCCAGGTCTGCCTGGTTCGGCTGCAGTTAGGTACATTCACATGCAAAAGCCTCTGCGGCAGCCTGGGTGGGGCGGGGTCTCAGGGAGTCAGAGGGCGGAGAAAGCGGCCATGGCCGATTCTCCGCCCGGAGTCGCGCGTCTCAGTGTTCTGGTAACGGCTGCAAGCACCTCTGAGGGAAAGCCGCCCTCAAGTTCGCTCGCTGCCGGACAGACCAGCTTCTCCCCGTGTGAGACCTGGGTCCCCAGAGACTTCCCGGAACCGGAGTTCAGAGCCGTCGGGAGTTTGTGATTCAAAAAGACAGCCGCGTCCTCAGGCGCCACCCCCTTTCCTCGCGCGCGCGTGCCGCCGTACCTCTGCACTTCACCTCCGCAGCGCCTCTGGCTCTCAGCGTGCTTTTCTTTCCTTCTAGTTGTGGAATTTACACTCAGCCAGCCTTCCTGTTGTTCTGGATGATGTTTGCTCAGTCCTTTGGGGTAATTTTCAATTGTTGTGTGAGGCGATAATTTCCCGGTGTTTACCTATGCTGCCATCTTAGTTGCTCCTTTAAATATATTTTTTTATTGATTTCAGAGAAGAAGGGAGAGAAAGAGAAAGAAAGAAACATCAATGATGAGAGATGATGATGATGAGTGAAGCTGGATGATCACTCTCCCACTTGACTGAAAAGCTGTTGATATTGCAGGTTGGAAGTTTCTGAAAGCTGAGTAAAAGGCTTAGAGAAACCAAGACACTTTCATTCATTCAACATTATTGAGTGCCCACTGCACGGTGTAAGACGCCCAATATTATAATGCCAGTGAGATGTCCCTGCTCTCAAGTGGTTTCAATTGTGGCACCTGACTTTGGGCCCAAGTGAAGACATTTAGAGGTGATGTTCAGGAGGGAAATCTGGGCAGGGGATATGTGCCTGGTGAGGTTGGCTGGCATTACTAGTTGAGATCATAGATAAGACCACCTGCGGGAGAGCGAGAAGGGTTGGGAGAAAAGGGGAGAAGCTGATGATGGAACCTGTGGGAACACTGACAGTCAAATGATGAAAAAAAATGAGGAGATTCGAAAAATGAATAAAGATGATGGAGCCAGAAAGGTAAGAGGCAAACTGAGAAGCAGTTTTAAGAGTGGTTGTAGTGTCCACCACCTCAGAAAGGCCTGAAGGGATGCTGATGGCATGTGTTCATTGAGTCAATTTCTAGAAGCTCATGGGGAGCTCAGAGCAGTTGTTCTGTGGTGTTGGGGAGGCACGGGTCTGACTGCCATGTGCTGATTAGGGGATGGATGCTGTGGAAATGGAAAGCCCTTATGTAATTTATCGCATGCGCAGTTTGGCTCTAACAGTGAGATGGAGAGTGAAACACAGAGGACAGTAAATTCTCAAGCATCGCTGGTAACATGGGAGAAGCTTACTCATGTTTATGAGGGAGAAGAGTGAGAGTGAGAAGCTGGAGATATGGGGAAGGAGAGGATAATGGACAACCTTTGGGATCCAGAGCAGAACAGCCTCTTTTTTCTCCCTAAATATATCTTTTATTGATTTCAGAGATGATGGGAGAGAGAGACAGAAACATCAATGATGAGAAAGAATCATCCATTGGTTGCCTCCTGCACGCTCCCTACTGGGGACCAGGCCTGACACCTAGGCATGTGCCCTGATTGGGAATGAAACCTTGACCTCCTGGTTCATAGGTCGATGCTCAACCACTGAGCCATGCAGAACCGCAGAACAGTCTTCCTTTAAAGGCAAGGAGTTCCCATCCTGGAGTGACAAAGGCCCCACCACCAAGCCCGCAGTGGGATCTCTGGTAACGGGATGTGGTGTTGCAGCATCACCCAGAGATCTCAGGTGAGGAGCTTCAGAGATGCTCAAAAGCGTCTATAATCTGGAATGTGTGTGGTATGATGTTCTCATTATTCACATGATAGCAAGTGGCACCCTGAGCTGTAGCAATGGAAAGAAAAGTGTGACTACCTAGTTACTTGGGGTCACAGGCATGGCTGGGGTTGACAATCCAGGAAGGTAGTCACAGCAGTGTAGGCAAAGGGGAAGGAAAGGAAGAAGCAGCAATGAATGGAGAGATGAACATTACTAATGATAAGAAAAAAAGCATATTGGTGACAAAGTGAAAAAGTAGTTGTAGGTTGTGACAGTGTATGGGAATGCTGCTAGGACCCACAAGTCTATCCTAGAACATGCTGATTGTAAACTGGTCAGGTCAACAAAATTACGATAGAAACTAGAGGCCTGATGCACAAAATTCGTGCAAGAGTAGGCCTTCCTTCCCCGGCTGCTGACACCCAGAACCCAGGTTTCCTTCCAGCAGCCGGCAGGCACCGAGGATCTGGGCTTCCCTTGCAGCCCCAGCTTTGTCCAGAAAGATGGAAGGATGTCTGGAAGGACATCTGGTCTAATTAGCATATTATGCTTTTATTATTATAGATGAAGTGCCTCTTGTGAATGGGCAAAGAGGAGTATATCATTCCCATGTGCCTTTGGATTTTCCATTTATTTATTTACTAGAGGCCTGGTGCACAAAATTCGTGCATGGGTGTGTGTGTGTGTGTGTGTGTGTGTGTGTGTGTGAGTGTGTGTGTGTTCCTCAGCCCAGCCTGCACCCTCTCCAATCTGGGATCTCTCTCATAATCCAGGACTGCTGGCTCCCAACTGCTCGCTTGTCTGCCTGCCTGATTGCCGCTAACCACTTCTGCCTGCCAGCCTGATCACTCCCTAACCACTCCCCTGCCAGCCTGATCGAAGCCTAACTGCTCCCCTGCTGGCCTGATTGCCCCTAACTGCCCTCCCCTGCAGGCCTGGTCCCCCCCAACTGCCTTCCTCTGTAGGCCTGGTTGCCGCTAACTGCCCTCCCCTGTAGGCCTGGTTCCCCCCAACTGTCCTCCCCTGCAGGCCTGGTCCCACCAACTGCCCTCCCCTGCAGGCCCAATCACCCCCAACTGCCCACCCCTGCCGCCATCTTGTGGCAGCTATCTTTGACCACATGGGGGTGGCCATCTTGTGTGTTGGAGTGATGGTCAATTTGCATATTACTGCTTTATTATATAGGATTTAGAAAAAAAATTCCATTCATCAGTTTTGTGGTGCTGTGATATCCAGGGCAGTGCATAAAACCTATGGTTTAAACAGTGTGTCTGATGAATTTCTGCTTTGAAATGTAGTAAAAACTTCAATAATTTGGAATTAGGTAGGCATTAGGGTGAATTACTTATTGTAGTTAGTGAAAATTTAAAAATTTTTAAAGAAATGATTTTTACTGTACTAGATTCTGGAGACAGTTTAAACCAGGCTAATAAAACTGGTCACTTGAAGGTCTGGGAGCCAGTACTTATCAACTAGAGGCCCGTTGCACGAAGAAATTCGTGCACTAGGCCTTCCCTTCTCCTGGCTGCTGGCACCGGTTTTCCTCTGGCACCCGGGGCCCAGGCCTTCGCTCTGGCCGGAGCCTTCAGTTTTCGCTCTGCCACTTCGCGCCTACGTATGCAAATTAACCTCCATCTTTGTAGGGTTAATTTGCATACTCTCCTGATTGGCTGGTGAGCATAGCAGAGGGCGGTCAATTTACATGTTTGTCTATTATTAGGTAAGATGGTTAGGCAGAATAATTGTCCTAAGTATATTTTGTTTCTAAATGGTGGGGGTGAGAAGTACTGCTAAAGTAGTTCAAAGGCGTTTGGAAGGGTTTACACTTTTACGTAGGTTAAGCGGCATGTTCCATGCAGTTTTATTTTCACTGGTTTCTCCGGGAGGTGGTAGAACAGGCACATACTTTTTCTGACCTCATTTAGAGCCATGATGGGAAGGCCCTTCGTGTATCCTCATTCTTCTTCCTACGGTCTAACACGCCTCTGTTAGGGCTTTGTTGCTGTGTATTACAGGGTTCTAACTTTCTGAGCCTCCGCTAAGATCATTCCCTTGGAATTAACCATGGACACGTAGTGCAAAATCGCTAGTGGAACAAAGAATGGGGATTTTTTTAGTGAAGAAGGAAGAGATTCCTTTTGGAGCAGAAGCCCTCCCCTGGTAAGGCAGAGCGGGGTGGGTGCTAAGAATGGTAATTGTGAGTAGCCAGGGGCTGGGGCATTTGGGCACTGCCTGGTCACCACTTCCTATCACTTGCTGAACAAGCCCTTTTATCATAGTTAACGTGAAGCCCACATGCACTAGTATCTGAGTTTTGATATATGAAACAAAAAAATAAAATCAATGGCAAATTATTTTTTTAAATAAAACCCTCAAAAATATTTTCAAGCCTCTCTCCCTCCCAAATTACCAATGATGTCTTCAGCCACCCTGCAGAAATTTACTTTTTGTATGTTAGCCCCAAATTTGTATACGGCCAGTTTGGTTGACTGAGACCAGTCAGGTCGGAACCCACCAATTAGTTCCAGAGAAAGACAGTCACATTAGTTGTTTATTGACATCTTTTTAATGTTTTACTTTAAAACAAATAATCCCAGTAAAAGAGAGCAAAGGAAATGACATTTTCATGGTAGCTTTAAATGGATATGGTATTCCTGACTTATTTGTTTTCAGGAAACAGACAATTGCATTGTCGTACATGACTTTTAGAACTGCTCACGTAAATGCACGTACTTATATTAAATTAAGTTTCTCTTACAAAAACACAACCAAGTTATTTTAAGGCAAAAAAGAAAAAAATCAGCTTTTGGGGAGATAAGGTAATATTGTGGTATTTTCAGAAGTGACCCATTAGTTTAGTTGCTCGTGTGTCCATATTCCTTACAGTTTTGCTTTGCAAATGGGCAAGAGAATTAGTCACTTTGTGCCTGGTGTCCTCCTCTCTCTCAGACTTGTTTTACCTGCGGATTAAGAACTTTCAGAATTGCTGAGTCGAGGGGAGGTGAGAAAGGCACCCTTGAGCAGGGGATAATGACTAAAAAACTCAATAAAGCGTCTCCCTTTAAACAAAACTTGCAATCTACATATATTAACTTAGTTAAACACAATGCAAACATTTAGATCAGACACAGAACATCTTTTAGTTAACCTCATATAAGGGATGTTTGCAATGAAGTGTTAGCTTGATCAGCCCTGCATGTTGAAGAAGGCAGACAGACTGGAGCTGAGAAAGCATGTGGTTACTCAGTGCTCAGCGAAACTGTGCTTCTAGACACCATTTGGGATTGTCCAATGGGACTCTGCTAGGTATAAACGGGAGACCCCTCCGAACTCCCCAGAGAGACACACAACAGACAGACCCTACATTTTTCACACCACACAACTATCTTTGAATATCCAGTAATTTTTTTTTTTTTGTGCTAGAGTTAAGATAGACACAATATGGCCATGGCTTCAATGTACAATAGTTTCTCACAACATGGTTCATTGCATTTTGCTATGATTAAGACCTCAGTGATATTTGTAGGGTTTGTTTCTGAATCTTCCATCTTCAGCAATGCTGGATGAACTGTGCTGGGTTTGAAGCCCACGGAGGGGTCCCCAATACATTCAGAATTCCTGCTGCCAGTGGGGTTTGACCCAGGACAGAGTGTGTCCAAGAATCAGTGCTGCCTGAAAATTGCTGCCTCCTCCCGCTTCCTCCGAGTATATGGAGATGTCTGGCTTTAGGTCAGTGGAGGTGAGTGTGTGTGCGTGTATTTGTGTGTGTGTGCAACCTCCTCCAGAGGGTGTATCACAACCTCAGGTTGAGTAGAGACATGGGTCGATGAAAAATTGCATTGGATAATTGACTAAGATTCTATGTTTCAAAAATGAAAATAATTGCTTTAAAGGTTTGGCAAAATCCTTTCAGCTGGAGTGTAAAATCAGACTCTACCTTCAGTGTGCCTCCAGCGGCAGAGAAGATTCTGAATGATACACTCCAGGGGAATGTGCTAGAACTTGGGCAGGCGAGAAGAGGAAGCTTTCAAAATGTCGGTGTCTATCAAAAGGGACAAGGACTTTAAAAGGTTGGGAAGCACATTTTAGGTGGAGTGGAGAAGTGGTTTCCTTGGGGTTGGAGGCTGGGTAAGGCTAGTGAAGTTCAGAAGCAAAACAGTGGCAGAGAATTGACAAGCAGTTACTAGAGAAGAAAAGTAAGGAGAGAGTCAGAGGTGGAGAAAGCAGGTTGTGAGAGAGAACTGGGGGATTTCAGGGCCTCCTCCTGCCTTTGGCTACCCAGTTGATATCCTTGCTCATTCTTTGGGCTGCTGGAGTTTTTCAGCAGGCAGCACTATTTGTGGGGGGTTGAGTGGGGTGGGGTTAGGGAGAGGAGGCCTTTAAAAATGTCCTTTGTGGCTAGAGTTGAAGTGAATTGAGTGCTATCTTGCTTCTCCTTGCTTTTCGAAGACCATTACCTTGGCTGAAGTTCTGCTGGTCTGAGATCAGTAGACTGGTTTCTAACAAGCTGTCAGCATTGCTTGCTTTCCGGTAAATACATGTTCTATTTTATTTCTCTTGGGCTGTTTGTGGTCCTGTTATATGATGAAGTGTTTTGATTTGCAGACCTGCCAGTGTTACCCGGCTTTTCTAACTATAAATGCTTATACTGTACCAGGAAACCGAACCAATAATTTCAGATTTGGGACAATATTCTTGGGGAGAATAGAAAATGTTCACTATAAGAAGTAAAGGAGGTTTCGTTTTAGCCGCTCATATGTAAATGTACTACATAATAGCAAAAAACATTCAGGGCATATTAAAAAATAAATACCTTGCAAAATTCTCTGTTTATATATAAGAATAAGATGTTTAGGTAGTTGAATTTCTTAGTAGTATTCATTTTCTAAAAAAAAAAAAAATTGAGTTCTTTTATTTTGGTATTTTTCTCTCCCTCTCATTGCCCTTTGAGGGGAAGTCACTTTCTTGAACTTCACTGACTTCCCAGTGTTGTGTCTCGGTTCTTCTCAGGCCTTCCCCATCTCAGTCCCACTCCCATGTCTCAGTCCCTGGGATCCTGCCTGTGAACCAGCTTAGTGGGAACGGCTTCTCACACTTCCCCTTTCTGTGGGCAGCATTGCCAAGTCTGGGCAGGCGCCATTGCGGAGAGCTCAGCCCAACCACACTGGTCATCCTACTGATCAGCATTTCCTTTGTTTGGGTAGAAGTTGACAACTTATAAAGTTGATTCCAGCCATTAGAGGAATATGTTTCCATAACGTCAAATGTGTCACATAGTCAGTCTATTTGCCCCACTGGCCCTGAATTTCATGATTTGTACATTTTCTAATTGAAGAACATTCTCATCATAAAGAACAACATGAAAGTGATGTGCAAAATTGCTTGCCACAGCAGTAAATCGCCAAAAGCACACATACTGACATTCAAAGTACATTAATAATAATATGACTGAATAAGGAATGGGTTGGCAACAATATATCTTGAAATAAGCAGCCATTTCTACTGTTCCCAAATTCTGCTTTACTTGGTACCTTGTTGGCAGCTGTTGATGAGTGCCATTGTGTTTAAATATACATTATGGCCTAATTTTGAAAATATAGTTTGCATTTAATCGCAAAGCAGAAATGGCTGAAATTTGAAGGTGTTTACTCCCATAATTTCAAAATAGAGAGTCAAAATCTTCTAAGTGGCCTAATTTTCATACATCCCACAGCATTAGCAGTGTTTGGTTTCTCAAGATTATTAACTCAAGGTACGTTACTAAATGAGCGGGTTAATGTTGATGTACCTCGGAATTTCAGCCATCCCTAAACATGCATTTTCATGCAATTAAAAGATAACGGGCTTATAAACTGCCTTTCATGTTCTTCCTGATTCTTGCAAATTCAACTTTAGAAGGGCTTTCGAAATAGTTCATGCAAATGATATGTATGGCTAAAGGAACTGCTATGCCTAGAAAGAAGACGAACTTATTTCAGTTTGACGTGAGGCAAGCTGAGGGCATCTGTACTTTCTCCGGCCTTACAAATGCTCTGAGATGATGGAGACCTTCCAGTCCTTAGCGAGTCTGATGCAAAAGCAGTTTCCCTAGCAGGCTGCGGCGCGGCGTCGAAAGCGTCTGTCTCCGCCTCTTCCGAACCCACCTCTTCATCAGTTATAAACAATTTGGATTCCCTCCATTTGGGGTAAAAATCTTGGCTGCCTCTGGAGCCACTTGACTCACTCCCCGAAAGCTGGATATTCAGCTCCTCTGTGGACCTGACCAGGTTTTGTACAGACAAAGATTTGCCCAAGTCCTTGGGTGCCACTGGGTGGACGGACAACAGAGTTTCTCCTCCCATGTCAAAGCTCTTCCTCAGAGAACGGTCCCTGGTCAGATTTGACTGTGCAACCTGAACATTTTCCTTGGAGGCAACAAGGCAGGCGGTGACATCAGGAATGCTCTCCTGTAGGCCTGTGGGGTTTGGGTGCAGGGTCTCTGGCCTGGGCGGGTGCTTGATGGCTGGGAGAGGAGGCGGGATCTGTAAAGTTGCTGGGGCTGCTGGCTTAGGGGCCGCATTTATTTGGTTTGCAATGTTGTTGGTGGCCACCACCGAGGAGCCATCGCTTTGACTCAGTGGCACCTGGGTTGCTTGACTGTGCATAGTGGGGCTCAGCGCGTAGAAAGTCTGAGCACTGAACTCATTTGGCGTCAGGATGAACTGCAGGCCTCGAGAGATGTTGGCACTAGCTGATCTGGTTAGGCAGCCACTGTTCTGGGCGGAGCTGGACAGGTCTTTGCTGTCCACGGGGCTGTGATAGTCAGATGTCTGTTCACATTCAAACGGTGGGATCTGGAATGAGGCCAAAGCGAGGGCTGAGGCGGAGCCTTTCCGGAGGACCTGCTGGTATATGTCCAGCAGGCAGTCCAGCTTGGACTCAATGGACTGGACCTGCAAAAGGGGGAAATGGCCACAGATGAGGATAACTGTTACTAAGACAGGGATTCACCTTTAGAATTAAAAAAATGAAACCATTGTGTGCCAATGCAGTAAAATATAGAGTTTAAGGATAATGCAGACCTGATATTTATTACCATTTTATTTTATTTTAAATTTTTTTGATTTAGTACCATTTTGCAACGTCATGTCTAGCAGTGCTGGGGCCAAGGGAGGACTTAGGAGAGGGATGCTTTGGCCTCTTTGTAATCTTCATTGGCACCCCTCTCCCTCAGTTCTTTAAAATGGACAATTGATATTCTCCAAACCCATGTAATCACTGTACAGATGCAACTTCACGACTGCCCAGCCCAGCCAGGTTGCCTTTCCCAAGCCTCTTCTGTGGAGCTCTACTGCAGTATAGTAAGGAATTTATTCTATAATAAAATCAAGACCTTAAATAGCAATCTAGGTGATTCTGAATTGAAAAATAAAGATACAGACTGCTTCAGAATTAATACCTGAAATATTTATGATTACATTGGGGTAGCAATTTGATTTCTGGAAAATGGTCTTTGTAGCGATAATGATTTTTTTTTTTTTACAGAGTGACCTAAAAGAGAGACAATAAGAATAACCAAAAATAAAAAATAGATTTTTTTTTTATCTTAGTGTTGAAAATCTACAATTGCTTCCTGTGTGATGAGGTGAGATTTTCTGTTCCTTATATGGAAGTCCAAACGTTTAGAGAATTCTGTCTATGCACAAAGAAAATTTCATTTCATTCGTTCTTCCTTGATTTTATTTCTTGATCTACCTTTCAAAATATATTAATCACTAAAATACATCCAATTGCCAAATCCAGTTTTTATTTTAAAAAATTCTGGTTAAAATTTTAACCAATATCGTTCAGTTGTACCTGTTTTTCAACCTTGACCACCCGGCCGAGCATACTGAGGTCATCTGTGGTCTCATGTTCTGCTGGTATTTTCTCTCGGCTCTTCTTATCTGATGTGATTTGACCTTTTCCAAGAATTTGATCAACACTAGCAGAGAAAGAGGACATCTGATTATGAGTTGAAGATGGAGATGGAGGTTGCCCTAGGCCAGAATGAAGTGTTTTGAAAAGAAAAATTCAATACAATTATTTTTAATTTATGTAAGTGAAATACAGTTGATGTGCTTTATTTTCTTAACGTGAGAATTACATAAAATATTAATTTTCTTATTATTCTGGTCCAGGATGAAATCACTTAAGGGTGATCTTCTGGAGGCAAAATTGCCTTAAACTACAAATTACAGAGTGACCTAAAAGAGGTCACTTGTCTGTTTTCATCTTTGACCAAGTATTTCCAAAATTAACTACTTAAGCTATTACAATATCATAATTATGATGATTTCACATTAATAGATTACTCAATGAACACTTACTGTTCATCTGATATGTGAAAGATAAGCAGATAAAAAGCTATTGGAATTCTAGTTGGAAAATATACTCTACATGAGTTAGATACTCTAGTTCTGAAAATTCGGTAACAGTTCAACTTGATAAAAAAAACCCCTTAAGAGCCACAGATAGTTCTATTAAAGGACTTGGAAGACTGCTACCACATAGGCAAAGATTGTCACATGACCACAGGATGAGTTAAAACCATTTCCAAGGGGACTTGATCACCCTAACTGGGAATTACAGTACTTTCCCATTTTGTGTGTTTTAGAACTGAATTACCAGGAGGACCGACTCAACTTCCCGGTTACTTTGTCTGCAGAGAAATACAGGCAGTGCCTATCTTCTGTCATGACATCTAATCTATCAAACTCCAAGCTCTAAAGAATGGGGCCATTATTTTATTAATATCTGGATGCCCACAGCACGTGGCACACATTACATGCTCAGTAATTATCTGCTAAAAGAATGAATGAATGAACAAATTGTAACTTTTTTTGGTAACTGATTAACTGGTGTTTTACTAAGGGTCTAGTTTATATCCCTTACCCTGGGCTAAGTGCGCTGCGGGCATATAAGCCAATGTTTCAGACTCAGTCCTTATATTTTAAGACTATTTCATCACAAATGCTGGTAATTTGTGCCTAAGAGTGAAGCAAAATTCTTAAAAAATGGAATTGACTAAATATTTTGCCTTTAAGATAACACAATTAGACACATATAGTTGGAATAACATGTTGAACTAATTTCTTCTAATCACTCAATAAGATGCTCACTGGAAAAACAGTGTGTATCTAGTATTTACAGGACATGAAGTAAGGGAAGGGCCCAGTCTTAATCACAAGGAAGGAGAACAAACTTGCAACTAGGAAACAATACAAGAACCAGCCAGTCATTTTTCAGTCTTGACTCTGGCACAGTATACCGAGATTCCGAGTGCTTTTATTCCCATAGTAGACTTTATTTTTTTGTTAATCCTCACCCAAGGATATTTTTCCAGTGATTTTTTAGAGAGAGTGGAAGGGAGAGGGAGAGACAGAGAGAAACATTGATGTGAGAGAGACACATTGATTGGTTGCTTCCTGCACACACCCTGACCAGGGCCAGGGAACCTGCAACCAAGGTACATGCCCTTGACTGGAATTGAACCCAGGACCTTTCAGTCCATGGGCCGATGCTCTATCCACTGAGCCAAACTGTCTAGAGCTCCATAGTGGACTTTAAATGCTTTGGGAGGTCAGAGTAGGGAAAGGTATTTTTGTGGGCTGTATAGTCAGGTAAAGCCAAAGAGGAAAACTAGTTTATTCCTGAAGGATGGTTAGGGTTTAGATAATAACAAAACAACAGCAGCAGCAATGATAATTCAGATGGCATCAGAACAGCCATTAACATTTATTGAGCACTCATTTACTGTGTGTTTAATTAATTCAATCCTCGTGACAACCCTAAGAGGCAAATACTAACATTATCCCCATTTTTTTGTTGTTGTTAATCCTCACTCAATATTTTTCCATTGATTTTTTTTAGACAGAGTGGAAGGGAGGGGGAGAGACACACAGAGAGAAACATCAATGTGAGAGAGACACATCCATTGGTTGCCTCCTGCGTGCACCCTGACCAGCGCTGGGGATTGAGCCTGCAACCGAGGTACATGTCCTTGACCAGAATCGAATCTGGGATCTTTTAATACTTGGACCAATGCTCTATCCACTGAGTCAAACTGTCTAGGGCAATCCTTATTTTAAAAAATATGTTTTTATTGATTTCTAAGAGAGGAAGGAAGAGGGAGAGACAGATAGAATTATTAATGAGAGAGAAGCATTGATTGGCTGCCTCCTTCACGTCTCCTACTGGGGACCAAGCCTGAAACCCGGGGCATTGAACCGGCGACCTCCAGGTGTCTGGGTCGTTGCTCAACCACTGAAGCACACGAGCCGGGCACATTATCCCCATTTTTACAGATGAGGAAACTGAGGCACTGTATCATTGAAGGCTTCTAATACCTGATTTACATCCTTAAATAAAATCTATGCTAAAAGCAAGGCCCCGTTCCCCACTAAAAATGAATTAGAACTATGGAATTTAAAAGTTTTCTCTTCTACAGAGTTCCTCCCAGATAGTTTCTGTGCCTTTCCTTTACAACAATAGCATTTTCATTGCTCACCGTGTTTGAAGGCTCTTAATTCTACACAACATGTCCAGGTGACCAGCAGAATATTGTTCAATTACATCTTTTACGTCATATGGGCGTAATGTTTCTTTAAACTTCCGTTTTGCAACATGAAATTTCATTATTCTGTAAGAGCAACAAATGACACATTGTAAAGTAAGTTACAAAAATAGCATACTAGTAAAATGTAAGAAACTCAGGGGAGAAAAAGTCATGCACCAAATTATTTTAGACTCCTATGAAAATGCAATATGAAAGCCTGAGATTACAGTGGACAATTTCAGAATATCTCATATGGGGCAAACCACTTTTAGTAGAAAAACACACTAAAAAGAGATTATGTTTGAAGTGTTGCACCTTTTTATTGTACCTTTTTAATGTTCACTGAAACCCTGATTTAAAATTAAGGTCAAAATGCAATTCTCCCTTTTCCATGTGGCCCCCAGAAGTCCAAGATATAGCACCTACGGATTGCATCCCTTGTGAAATATAAAAATTGTTAAAATGGTCTTTTATGTAACGAAATTCATTTTAAAAATATATTTTAAATCACTTCAGAGAGGAAGGAAAAGGGAGAGATAGAAACATCAATAATGAGAGAGAATCATTGATTAGCTACTTTCTGCACGCCCCCTACTGGGGATGGAGCCCACAACCTGGGCATGTGCTCTGACTGGGAATTGAATCTGCAACCTCTTGGTGCATGGGACGATGCTCAACCAACTGAACCACACTGGCCAGGGCATGAGATTTTTTTTTTTATTACTATGCCACCCCCATGTTTTAAAACAATATTTTATCAATGCATTCCATGATGCCATAAATAGCTAAGCTGCCTAAGATAACCAGTGCTTGCAATAACTTGGTATAATTCCTGAAGAAAGCAAAGAAACAATGGTTGAATGAGTCTGTGCAGCCTTATTGCCGGTAAATGTTAAGTCTTGGTGTTTTTTCAACTATTAAGTGGCTCATAGACTCCCATTATCACATTCAGGCCGGGAATCAATCAAGGAGGCTCTATGAACCAAAATTTATTCTCCCTTGGTGGAAAGAGGGAAGATGAGGAACAAATGAGTTTAAACAGAAAATCCTCATTACCTATCCTACGTGAAAGCCAATTGCATGGAATCCAAATTACTTTATTGGTTAAAACGCCCCCAACTCTCTTGTAATTGTATTAACTTCAAATTAATTGTATCCTAATTAATCCTGAACCATCTATCCATAATATATACGGTTTTCTTAAATTCAAGTGTACTTGTAATTGACATACTGTATTAGTTTCAGGTGTGCAACAGAATGATTTGATATTTAAATACAGTGGGGCCTTGACTTACGAGTTTAATTCGTTCCAAGACCGAGCTAGTTAAGGAGCTCGTTAAGGAGCTTGTTAACTCAAATTACTCTGTCAACTCAATGCAAAAAATCGGCCGAGAGACAGCTGGTATCTCAAAAAACTCGTTAGTCGGGACACTCGTAAGTCAAGGCCCCACTGTATACTGTTTTACAAAATTATCACCACAGCGAGTCTAGTTAATATCCATCCCCATACATAATATCCATAAGAATATGAACATCCAGGAATGTCCATAATATTCTTTCTCTCTCTACCATATTTTCTCCACCAATCTCTTCTTTAGTTAGGATAGGTTTTTGTTTGCAAAGACATTTAAACAACGTTATCAGTAGAAAGTAAAGAAAATCTGTTTTTAATGTAACCTCTTAGTATTTAGCTTCGGTTCACAAATTTGTTTATCAGCATTTAGGTTTGATTGGGGCTCAGCCTCCTATATTGAAAAACTGGGGAAAAATAGTGCAACACGTATCCCATGAAATTTTTCGCCCTGAGTGACCATGTTAAACATATCTGTTTCCTCACACTAGACTGTCAGCTGCATGAAAGCAGGATGGGCCTCTTATTCAACCCAGTGCTTAATAAAGGTTAGCGACTGTTACTACACGTGTTCTTCAACACTATCCTCAGGGCTTAGCACAGTTCCCGATACACAGTGGAAAGAAACATTTATTGAATAAAGGATTAAGGAAAGAAAGAGAAAAATAAAAGATCCTCTGATAAGATTTAAAATAAAGACAAAAACAATAACAACAACAACAACCCAGAAGAAAAGCTAATCTAACAGCCCAGAAACCATTTTTGCTTCTCTTCAATGGTGCCTGGGTGGGCAGGAAAAAGGGAAAATCTTTTTTATGTGCCATAGATATTTTTTTGGTTGTCACTGTTTGTGTTTTCAATATTATTACCACTTGTTATGTGAAATATTTTATATGTCTTACGTTTAACAGCACTTGATAAGATATTTTTAGCTCCCCTCTTTATAAAATTTATTTCTAATCTGTATTGTTGAAAGTATTACATATGTCTCCGCTTTTCCCCCATTGATCCCTTTCAGCCCGCCCCCGCCCCTGCCCCCAGGCCGTCACCACCCTGTTGTCTATGTACATGGGTTATGCACTCTGTGAGCTCCCTTTTATATTAGGGAAACTGAGGTTCAGAGACCTTAATTGACTTGGCTCCAAACGAGAGCCAGCAGGAGGCAAAGCCAGGATCCCGCCCAGATCTGTCTGGTTCTCACCTCACACCACCTCTCAATCTCCCGCGGCATCGATTCTGGAGATGCTGAGTTAACTGCGATCTTTGGCAGCTTTTGTTGCCCATGGTGGCAGGAGCCGCCCTACCTGCAGAGGGGCAAGCTTTGGCACAATCAGTGCATCTGCTCTGGCTGTAGCTCAGGCATTTGGGGCCAGTGGGGTGTGTGCACTGCACCTCCAAACTGAATTCCCTGTTTTGTGCTAATGGGGACCTGCCCTTGTTTCCTGGTAGAGAGTTGTGTGAGTTTGATATCATAACTTGTCTTCACGTTGTGCATTGCTTTTTTCTTTTCCTTTCACAAATGTTTTAAGAGAAAGAATAATCTGAAGGCATTCAACAGGCAGTGTTACACTCCAGCCCTCGGCCATATTTTAAGCAAAATTTAAACAATTTCATTTTTATTTACACAATTTACTATAAGAACTAGCCAAATTAAAAGAAAACCTGTTTTAAAGTTGTGATCAGCTCTTATAATTTTAATCAATTAGGAAACGAGTAGTCTTTTGTGTTATTTCAGCATGGCCATATGCAAAGTAAAGTAGATATTAGGATTCTTAATTGGCTTCCCGTTTATTTTCACACATCCCCTCATTCTTTAGGTGGCATTGTTCCTCTAGTGCTTTACTCAGATTTTCCCACCTTCATGTGAAATAGTGCAAGTTGGATTAATAAGTATCACTTTAATTATTTGGAAAAGAGGAGTATATGCAGTGATGGGCTGGAGCAGGCTTGTACTCACCCCCAAGAGCTGATTATTACACTTTCAGGAATTTTCTGTTTGTTAAACACAGCCATTATTAAAAATCAAATTACATAAATGTATAATAAAATAAATTATATTAAAAACAAAGGTAATGTACCCTCAAAACTCATCACTTCCTAATTATTTTACCGCATGTTACTTTGTTCTTGAGTTATGCACATCAGTTGTATCAGTATGATGGAAATACTATCTAACACTGTAGTATTGCACATGTCTCCCCAACTTTTTGTCTAGTGATGTCACACTGAGAGTGTGCAATTAGCTACGGTAAGAGTATTTATACCATGGAAATCGGCCAACACTACAAATCAGGCGTTGGTGGAAGCATTTACTAGTACATTACTGAGTGTATAAACCATCCCACCTAGTAAGACTTGCGTTTTCTATGATGTAGATCAAATAGATTTTCTGGCTTTGTTGTGGGTTGAAAAGAAAAACATTAAAGAGGTCTGAGGGGAGATATGAGAATTCTAAATCAGGTAATATGTTTTATAAATGTGGAGGAAATGTTTAAAAGCATAAGTATATTTGAAATCAATAATTTATAGAAAGGATAATGACAGTCATTTTGCCTTTCCTGAGAGCAGATCAAGTATGTATTAATAGCTCTCATAGCTGTCCCCTCCTTTCCATCTGCACTACTGCAGCCTTAGAAAGAATAAACCTTTCAAATGCAAAGATTACCATATTACCCTTCCCCCTCCAGAGCTTTTATTGCCTATTGGGTAAACATCAAATTCCTTAGCACATCCTATAAGACTGTTTTGGACTGGCCTCCGTCTATCTTTTTCGCCTCATCTGCTCTCACTTCCTCCTTGGAACTTGAGGTTGCAGCAACAATAAGATATTTGTAGGTTCACGAAAACAACATTAAATCAAATATATACATCAATTATTTGCATACACTATTTCTTCTTTCTGAAATCTTCCGATATCTTTGACTCAGCTCTAACATCACTTTTTAATGGAAATTTCTATAATTTTCCCAAAGCAGTTCATCAGTTGCCTATCAAACTCTATTTTAGTATGTAACACACCACATTATAATTATTTGCTTACTAGAGGCCCAGTGCATGGATTTGTGCACTGGTGGGTTTCCTCGGCCTGGTCTGCAGGGATCAGCCAAAACCAGCTCTCTGACATCCCCTGAGGGGTCCTGGATTGCAAGAGGGAGCAGGCCAGGCTGAGGGACCCCAGCAGTGCACGATCGGGGCCAGGGAGGGACTGAGGGAGGGCTCCAGGGCGGGTCTGGCACATCTCGCCCAGTCCCAATTGGCTGGACCCCGGGAGCAAGCTAACCTACTGGTTGGAACATCTGCCCCCTGGTGGTCAGTGTGTGTCATAGCAACTGGTTGAACGGTCGAACGGTCAGACACTTAGCATATTAGGCTTTTATTATGTGGGATAGATCAGCCTCCACCACCAGACTGTATGAAGTCCTAGAATGCAGGGTTGTGTTTCCCCATTGTAAACCAATACTTGGCATACAGTTTAATGGGCAGAAGAGGTTTGTTTGCCTAGAAGCTTTTCAATGAGGCTCAGTGGGCAACTTGAGAGGGAAGAGAGTAATGGGCGGAGAGAGCTCTTGCCTTTCCAGATGCTCATCTCTAATCATTCCTCTGCACAAAGGTGCAGTCCAGCCCTCTGGAATTTCTTGTCCTCAAAGCGCTCATTTCTCAGCATTCTGTCTTGGCACTCTACCTAAAACGCTAACTGTTCCAGGTTCATTTCAGGCATTGACTTCTCTAGGCA